TGCGATGCGCTCTCCTCAGCCTGCCCCCAGTGCCAGGCTCTCTCGGGGGCAGGAGCTGCTGTGCTCTTCCTAGGGCTGTCTCTGGGTGAGGATGTCCCGGATGCACGTGTACAAGAACACGTACTGATCCTGAAGGGAGGCAGGAGACAGAGAGAGGTGTTCAGAGAGTAATTCTAGGCCAGGGGGGCTTGACCCTGCCTCAGAGACACCAGTCAAGCCCACGGCCAAGGCGGATGTACGGTGGGTTTCGGAGGGTGTGGGGGGGATCGGTGCAGGGATGTGGGAGTTCAGAGGGCGTGGGGGGATCGGTGCGAGGATGTGGGGTTCGGAGGGCGTGGGGGGATCGGTGCGGGGATGTGGGGTTCGGAGGGCGTGGGGGGATCAGTGCAGGGATGTGGAGGTTTGGAGGGCGTGGGGGGATCAGTGCAGGGATGAGGGGGTTCAGCGGGTGTGGGGGGATCAGTGCGGGGATGTGGAGGTTCAGAGGGTGCTGTGTGAGGGCTTGCCCCTTTTGCCCCATAGGGCTGCACACTGGTCCAACTCCTGATGCGCCAGCGCAGTCCAAGCCTATGACCCTTCTTAGCGCCAGGGCTCATCCAAACGCTGCATTTTTGAAAACCCAGTCTGATGGCTAGAGCTTTCAGGAAGAACTGGGTTTCCCACAAGGTAGTTTCCCTATGATCCCTTGATGGATAAGGGATTAACCTCAAAGAGACCTTTATTCTCTGGATCTCAGAAGCAGAACCATGGTGGAGGGGGGAGCTGGGCACCTTCCCCTGCAATGACATACACGGGGGGGGGGGAGTGATGCCATCTGTCCCCTCCTCCCTCCCCTACAGATACCCCCATTCCCCACAATTCCTCCCCATGGCAGCTTCACCAGGCCAAGGAAGGGGCATCTTCCCTCCCCTGCTCCCCTCCTTCCCCTTGCTGCCTCCAGCCATGGGGAAGGGCTCTAGGCTCCCCCTTCCCCATGATGCTGCTGCTCCTAGAGGAAAGGGAAGGTCAGTGCACTGCAGGGGGGCTGGGGAGACGGGGGTCAATGGAGGTTTTAGCTCTGCCCCCAAATCCTCCCTTACATCTCTACCCCCCTTTCAAAACATGCCCCCACTGACTCCCTGCACTGCCCAGCAGCTCAGCCTGTGGGACCCCTGCTGATGCCCACTCCTCTGTGGGGCAGAGGGCTGGGGAGCATGGCAGAGACAGGACACGAGGAGAGGACACGGGGCAGTGATGGTGCTAACACTCAGCCAGTGCCTGCTGGGGCTGGCTTTGTCACTGCCAAGGAGCCAGAGGCAGTGGAGGGGCAGCTGGGCTGTGGGACGAGGACATGCTGAGGGTTAAAAAACAAACAAAACAAAGAAAAACCAGGCAAGTGTATTGTCCAAAAACTTCATTTACGCTCAGGTCCGGTTGCCCAGTGGTGCCAGCCCCAGCCCCAGTGAACACAGCTGAGTGCGTGCAGGTCCACGCTGCAATTGGAATCAAGACAAACTTCTCAGTCGTTCTTCCTATTTCTTATGGCACCCCCAATACTGGCACCCCGTGGGGGTATCGCCAGCTCCAGGGGCCAGAGTTAAGGTCCCGTTGCGGGGGTGGTATGTTGATGTAACCCCACATCCCAGTGGGATGAAGAGACAGCTCCTCTAGCGCAACCACTGGAGGACATGGCTGATACACATGCTCCCCCAGTAGAGGGTAGTAGTGCGCTGAGGCTGAATTAATGGATAATGTTTTTCCCCCACATAAACTACCAGGCCTTAGAGACAGGGTTATATGGAGGGTGACTGGCCAGCAAGGGTCTTCTCATTTGATTGTTATTCCTGGTTTTGCTGTCGTGCCTTGGCCCCTACTCACGGGCTCTGCATAAATGCGGGGGTGACGGGATGCTGTCGGGGGGCAGGAGTCCTGCCCCTGTTCTCCCAGCTAGGAGAGACGAGAGTCCATGTGAAGGGTTGTCCCAAGGGTTTGCAGAGGTCTGCTGCTCTAGCGGTTGGGACTCAGCTCTCGGAGCCGAGCTGCTGGGCTCTAGCTGCGCTAGGACAGCCGGCACGAAGGGGCAGCGCTCGGAAGCCAGCCGAACGGCATGCACCTGGCGGGTGTGCACGGCTGCCCTTTGGGGATGGTGCCCTCCAGTCCAGCTGGCTGGAAGGTCGCAGGCCAGGCCAGGGCGTGTGGTAAAACCTACCATTCGTTAGAGGACACTGGCTTCTAGGGCTGTTTTCTTTATTGTTCATACACATTGCTTGGTCCTCAGCCCTGGGTCACAGAGTCTCCCAAAGGTACTAGCACACCTGGAGCATCCGCTCGACGCTCTGAGAAGCAGTGCGTAGCGCTTGGGCCTCCCAACCCTCCTGCCAGACGGAAATAAGCATCACCCAGCAGCCTGCTCAGTAGGACATGCCGGCTCTGAGCCAGGCACGGCAGAAAGGGCGCCCCATGTATTCTGTCCTGTACTCAGCGGGGCAGGGAGGGCAGTACGGAGGCTGGCAGGATGCCAGAGCAAGTGCTACGGTGACTGGATTCATGGACCTTCCAGAGTCCCAGAAATCCCGGGCAGCAGGGATGCAGCCCCGCTAAAATCTTTGAATCCTGGACAAGTTCCCGTGCCCCGCACTGGGTGCTTGCAGGCTGAGTGGGCTGCAGCACTGTGGGCAGCAGAAAGGCACTCCCTGGGGGAGGCTGGTGCAGACAATGCATGTGCAATAGGCTCTCCCACTGCGTCTTGGGAGAAGAGACCAGGAGAGTCCGAGATTCTGAACCACTGATGCAGGCTAACCCAGCCTTAGCTCCTCATCTGTGCTGGCCTCAAGGGGTGGGGAGCTGATTGGTGCCTCTGCCCCAGGTGGGTCCCCTTCTCTCCGGAGGGAGCTTCAGTCAGGTTTGTGCAAACAGCCCTGCGATGCGCTCTCCTCAGCCTGCCCCCAGTGCCAGGCTCTCTCGGGGGCAGGAGCTGCTGTGCTCTTCCTAGGGCTGTCTCTGGGTGAGGATGTCCCGGATGCACGTGTACAAGAACACGTACTGATCCTGAAGGGAGGCAGGAGACAGAGAGAGGTGTTCAGAGAGTAATTCTAGGCCAGGGGGGCTTGACCCTGCCTCAGAGACACCAGTCAAGCCCACTGACTGTCATGACACTGTGTTTCTGCAGTCACCCCATTTCATATAACCAGGTCATAGAAACGGGATGGGATCTTGAGAGGTCACCAAGTCCAGCTCCCTGCACTGTGGTAGGACCTGGACCACCTTGACAGGTGTGTGTCCAGCCTGCTCTTAAAAACTTCCAGTGACGGGGATTCCACAGCCTCCCTTGGGAGCCTGTTCAAGTCATTAATGAAAATATTGAGTAGTACCAGGCCTAGGATGGACCCCACTAGATACCCCTTTCCAGCTGTACAGCGAACCATTGATAACCACTCTTTCAGCACGGTCTTTCAGTCAGTTTGCACCCATCTTATGCCACATTTCTCTAGTTTGTTTATGAGACTGTCATAGAATCATAGAATATCAGGGTTGGAAGGGACCTCAGGAGGTCATCTAGTCCAACCCCTGTTCAGAGCAGGACCAATACCAACTAAATCATCCCAGCCAGGGCTTTGTCAAGCCTGACCTTAAAAACCTCTAAGGAAGGAGATTCCACCACCTCCCTAGGTAACCCATTCCAGTGCTTCACCACCCTTCTAGTGAAAAAGTTTTTCCTAATATCCAACCTAAACCTCCCCCACTGCAACTTGAGACCATTATTCCTTGTTCTGTCAGCTGGTACCACTGAGAACAGTTTAGATCCATCCTCTTTGGAACCCCCTTTCAGGGAGTTGAAAGCAGCTATCAAATCCCCCCTCATTCTTCCCTTCTGCAGACTAAACAATCCCAGTTCCCTCAGCCTCTCCTCATTGGTCATGTGCTCCAGCCCCCTAATCATTTTTGTTACCCTCTGCTGGACTCTTTCCAATTTTTTCACATCCTTCTTGTAGTGTGGGGCCCAAAACTGGACACAGTACTCCAGATGAGGCCTCACCAATGTTGAATAGAGGGGAATGATCACGTCCCTCGATCTGCTGGCAATGCCCCTACTTATACAGCCCAAAATGCCGTTAGCCTTCTTGGCAACAAGGCCACACTGTCGAATCATATCCAGTTTCTCGTCCACTGTAACCCCTAGGTCCTTTTCTGAAGAACTGCTGCCTAGCCGCTCGCTCCCTAGTCTATAGCGGTGCATGGGATTCTTCCGTCCTAAGTGCAGGACGCTGCACTTGTCCTTGTTGAACCGCATCAGATTTCTTTTGGCCCAATCCTCTAATTTGTCTAGGTCCCTCTGTATCCTATCACTACCCTCCACTGTATCTACCACTCCTCCCAGTTTAGTGTCATCTGCAAACTTGCTGAGGATGCAATCTACACCAACCTCCAGATCATTAATGAAGATATAGAACAAAACCGTTCCCGGGACTGACCCTTGGGGCACTCCACTTGAAACTGGCTGCCAACTAGACATGGAGCCATTGATCTCTACCCGGTGAGCCCGACAATCTAGCCAGCTTTCTATCCACCTTATAGTCCATTCATCCAGCCCATACTTCTTTAACTTGCCAGCAAGAATACTGTGGGAGACCGTACCAAAAGCTTTGCTAAATTCAAGGAATAACACGTCCACTGCTTTCACCTCATCCACAGAGCCAGTTATCTGTCAAGTGGGACTGTGTCAAAAACCTTAGTAAAATCAAAATCTCACATCTATTGCTTCCCCACATCCACTAGGTCAGTAATCCTGTCAAAGAAGGAAATTAGGTTGGTTTGTCATGATTTGTTCTTGACAAAGCCATACTGGCTATTCCTTCTAACTCTATTATTCCATAGGTGCTTACAAACAGATCGTTTAATCATTTCTTCCAGTATCTTTCCAGGAACCAGAGTTAGGCTAACTGGTCTATAATTCCCTGCATCCTCTTTGTTCCCCTTTTCAAAGATGGTAAATTCCATGCCTGAATTCCTGGAATACAGGGAATTTCAGAACCCAGCACCATCAACTGCCCTGCGCTGGCCCTGCTGGTGTTTGGATACTCTTCTTGGGAGGAGTCTGTATCGAAGTCAGGCCAGACGGCAATTACAGTTACACTGCAGAACAGCTAATGGGGCTGAGTTCTGGTCTAATGATGCGCCTGGGGGAGTAAACACAAGTGATTCAGATGTGGAGAGACCCTTTGCGGGATCTGGAGTGGGGATGTGTAGCAGGAAGTGTCACTCAGGCTTCCCTGTTGGTTATTGGCCTCCGGGAGAACTGACCACCTCACAGTTCAACTGCAGCTTGGCCATGGTGGCACCAAAGTTACAGTTTCACCCAGGGAATCATGCAAAATAAGAGCAGCCTGGTCTAGATCCACAGCCACGGGCGAGCCCTGTGCTTCCGCCCCCACGTGTGGTCTGGTGGGCTCAGGTCCTACTGCCCTTCCCTTGCCCAGCTGGGCAGCGGCTGGGAGGAGCAGGGGGTGTGTATACAAGAGAACCCCATGTGTGAGCTCTCCTCCAGCTCCCAGGGCCCCTGGGGCTTGGATTTCATTCGTGAACCAATTGGCTGTTTGCAGGGTGCTTGGCAGTGGGGACGTCACAGAAGGATTTTGATTATCAGTGGGACCGGGAATGTGGGGGAGCTCATCCCTAAAGGCTTCTGCGAAATAAATGAATTAACTTCAACCCCCTGTTCAAAAGCACATCTGTGGAACCAGAGCTCGGCTCGGGCTGTGGCCAAGTCCAGCCTGTGCAGGGTGAAATGCTGGGATTGGCATCCTGAGGCTGGTGTCACAGTACCATCTAGTGGTGCGTTGCGTCTGCACTGCTCCGAAGGCAGCCTCGACCCAATCCGCCATTGGAATGCGGGCAGAGGTGCCTCTGATGCCCTCTAGGCTCCTCACCCTGACCTTCGGGCGAACTGGGTGTCTCCCATCAGTGCCCTGGCTGTAGGGTGCCAGTCGGGAAGGCTCAGATAGGCCCTCAGGGTATGTCTACACTGCAGCTGGGAGCAACAGACGCATGCTAGCTCTGAGCTACCGCACTAAAAATAGCAGCAGCGTGCCTAGCTGGCAGCGGCGTGGTCTAGCCACCTGACTCGCTAGCTATGGACTCAGGCGGCAAGCCCGAGCCACCACCCGTGTTAGTGCATGTCTGTCCACCCGGGCTGGGACACACGTTCCCAGCCACAGTGCAGCCAGCCCCTCAGACACTGCCATAATGAGCGCCGTGTAAGAATCTATCTAGAAGAGAAGGCGGCACAGGACAACCCAGGAGACGTCCAGTACCCAAGTGTACCAGGTCCTGTGGTTTTCAGTGCCCAGATCCTGAGGGGGAGGCGGCAGGGGATTTGCCCACATGGGAACAAACTGGCTGTCAGGGATGGAAGGGCAAGCGGGGGGCTAGGACTGGGAGGATTTGATTTTCAGATCTGCCTGGTTGTTTCCTGGGTCTGGGCTGAGTGGAAGCTGCTGGCTTTAACCTTAACATCGAAGGCATTTACCCCGATCCTCAGCAATGGGAGTTAAGCACCTAAAAACTTCAATCAGAGGGAGTTAGGTGCCTAAATGCCATTGAGGATCTGGGCCTGAGAGTCCTTCCCCTGAGCTCCCTACTGGGCTTGGGGCAGATGGAGCGACCTCCCACCGTGAGCTGCTTCCCCCTCCACCCCCACCCCCCCGGAACATCCCCTGGCAGGGCCCGGAGAGAGGGGCACAGAGCCCGGGCTAAGAACCACACTGCGTGTCGGGCTCGGAGTAGGATCCCCGCCTCGGCGAGCTCAGTCGGGGCTGAGGCTGGGTCGGTAGAAGCTGCCTGAGGAGAGAGGAGGCTGACAGAGAACTCAGGGGTCCCTGGGTCTGTTCTGAGAAGCTCTCCCTTATTGTATCCGGCTCCGGGCCTCTGTTCTGAACCTGGCCGTTGCTTCCCCAGGGCACACCTGGCCCCGACGCCCTCCCTCCTCGCCACCTACCGGCGTCGGGGTCATGAGGCAGCAGCTTCTCATCAGCCTGAGGGTGACTCCGTAGACATCCACACTCCGCTCCGCTTTCATCTGGTGCAGCAGGCAATCCAGTGCGATCAGCATCCCCATCTGGCCAACGCCACTGCTGGAAGGGGCAGCCGATGGAGGGAGAGCCATCAGCCATTCTGCCACCCGCCACGCAACCTCAGCACAGGCACAGACGTAGGAGACGGACAAGGCCTGGATGATTATGGAGCCCGTCTCCCAGCAGGGCAGGGCACAGACCCCCCAGAGAGAGGGACATTCACAGAGACCGTGCCCTGGCAGGGCCAGGAACCTGGCCTGGCCTCTGAACGAGCACTAAGGAAACCAGGGCATCTGGGCACGCTGGGCGCTCATGACTGGCTATCTGAGACTGCACCCCAAACCAGGCTCGCTGGCCAGCCCCTGGCTTCTCACATACCCACACTGGCTCCCCCGACGGGGCCGCATACACTGAATGTCAGCAACCGAGCCCCAGTCTGGCCCTGGAGGGACCTTGGGTCCTTACGTCTCCCTGGAGACCAGCGGGGGAGAACTGCCGGGTCATCTGGTCAGCCCCAGGCTGCCCTGTAGTTGGCTCTCCCGCAGGGATGTTCGTCCAGGGGGTTCTGGCCCCAGGGGACTCATAAGGACATGGAAGAGGGAGTCACGTGACCATACCTGCAGTGCAGGAGCAGCGGGCCGGCTCGCTTCCTGTGTGGCATGCACCGTCTAACTGCGGTGAGGAACTCCACCAGGGGTTGGACATCTGGCTGCTGCTGGCACCCCCACAGAGGGTACAGGAATCGCTGCACCTGCCTCTCCTTCACTTTCTTCTCCTGGCAGGGCAGAGAGAGCTGCTGTGATTATGGAGGAAGGGGGCATGCGCGGACGACAGGATGGGAGGGTGCTGCGCTCAGGACAGACAGGCCTGGACACCAGGGGAGTAGAGAGAGCCCCGCTTCCTAGCCTCTGGCCTGTTAGGTGCCCTGCCACAGTGATGCATTGGGTCCTGTAGTGTCCCGTCACCCAGCCTGTCTATGCTGGGTCAGCAGTGCCCAGCGGTGGGGTGCTGCAGTGGTAGCAGACAGAGGGACAGGGGGAAAGTGGCGTTAAAGGCAGAGCTGTTCTCCCTAGGTCAGTGGCTCTGCTCCAGCCCTCACACTGCATCCAGTGGCATCAGTGTGACGAGTTAGAAGTTCTCAGTCAAGGCCCCCGGGGCCCGTGTCTCCCAGACCACCCCCACACTGGCTCCAAGAAGGCAAAGGGCCACAAAGCTGGAAACGTCTGCAGGTGGGGCCTGTAGGGCAGGGCTGAGATACATCAGCAAGGAGTGGCCAGGTCAGGGTAAGCCTGCACTGACCCTGCCCGTGCCCCTGCTGCACCTGGTCCATGGACAGTCCCAGGCTTGGGCTCCCCACCAGCTCTGCTGATGCCCCTCAGCATTTCTGATCTGCTGCTCCTCTGCTATTCCAGCCCCATAACCCACCCCGCTCCACCAATACCCTTCTGTCCTGACTGCAGCCTCTGGGTCATTCTAGTCCCGGGCTGAGACTCTGGCATGATCTGGGAATGGGAACAAGTCCCCCAGGGACTCGGGGGAGCTCCTGGAGCTCAAGAAACCAGCTCCCCTGCCCTCGGAGGCACATACGTGTTTCAGTTTGAGCTGAATGCACCTCCATCCCGAGATGTGCTTCTCCGGGCCCCGCTGGATGGTCAACATCTCTGTGTAGAGTGGACTGCCCTCCAGGGGCCAGCATGCCTCGCTCAGGACCTGTGCACAACAGCGACTGGTGCGTCAAGCTCCCAGTGGCCCCATTTCGGATCAGTGCCCACTTGGCATGGCTCACAGGTGCTGGGCCAAGGGCACAGCCGACGTCAGGGTGACGCTGCCCAGCAAAGGGCCATGTGGCCGTCCTCCCGGAAGCCGACAGCCCACCGGTATGTTGGAAAGATCGTTGCTGATTGCAGCCACCTTCACCTTTAATACAGTGTGGCAGCCCAACGGGACTACAGGTCCCAGCATGCAATGCTCCACCATAGCTGAGCCACCAGGCTGCATTGCATGCCGGGGCCTGTAGTCTCTGGGGGCTGCACCTCCAGCATGAGGCGTGAAGGGCGGCTGTGACCCACTGGGTTTTATGCAAATTTCACATGTTCTTTGGCCTTCTGGGAAGTTGCCTTTGGGAGCCCAGAGGGAGGGGCGGCAGCTGAGGCCTTGGATGGGGGCTCCCCCTCCTCAGGAGCAGAGATCAGTGGAGAGAGATCTATCCTGGACTGCTGTCCCCTGTAAAACCAGAGGTCTCCATCTGGCTTCTCTAGGTGCTGCCCTACTAAATAGCTGGTGTCTATCTCCCCAGGGGACCATGTGGGCCATTTACTGCTTCCAGAGTTGGGACTCATTTTGGGTTTTACCTCAACTGTTACAAAGGGTTGGTAGGGGGAGGGAGCCGACTGCCAGCACAATAATGCACATGGCCCCTGTGGTGCCATGGAGCCAGGCATCCCCCATGCACGTCAGGGAGCGGGGTCCTAACCTGGACCACAGCCTGCTCCACACACGGAGTTTCCAAGTCTGGTCCAAAGCTTCGGGAAACGGTGGCAGAGGCTGGTGGGACAAACCTGCGTGTGTGACAGCGCAGTACCATAGAGACCACGCAGGAAATGCAGCACAGCCCGGGGAGGGAGGTTCAAGGAGCCCCCACCCCGCTTGGCTTACCTGGCCCTTCTCCTGGCATGGAAGCAGGGTGACTATGGTGTGGACACCATGGTCCCACACCAAGCGCCAGAATTCCTCAGTGGTCACCTTGTCGGGTCCTTGCACAGCCAGATAATCCCTGGATGAATTGCAGCCCTGTGTGAAGAACCAGAGTCTTACTCGCCTGCCCCAGGGAGGGGGCAGAGGAGAGCATGGGCTCCCTGCCTTAGGACAGCCGAGGGGGCAGAGCCAGAAGGCACGAAAAGGAGGGAGGTCTGGCAGCTTTGGAAGCAAAGAGAGGAGAGAAAGCATTAGACAGCCAAGCAGGTAGAGGGCCCAGGACCGGGACTGAGCCAGAGCGAAGGGGACAGTCGGGGTTCAGCCCTACGCAGCGATTCCCTCACCAGGAGTGCCCGGGACAGTACTCATGGCAGCAACAAGCGCAGAGAGAGGAGGATGGCTATGGAGAAACAGGCCACAGAGACAGGCTAGTGCTGCTCCCCATGGGAGTAGGGAACCTCGGAGCACCGGAGGAAGGGAGTGAGTTCTGCTCCCCAGGGGGATCAGGGTGGGTAGAGGGCCAGGGGGCCAGGCAGGGAGGTGAGGGAGTTTGCTTTCCAGGGGATCAGGGTGGGACAACTCACCGGGAGGAGCCAGGTCTGTTTGAGATCCGAGAAGGGGCCTTGTTCCAGCGGCAAAAATTTCACTCTGGAGCGATCATCTGCCAAACAGGCCAAGCATGAGGGACTGGGGGAGCCGGTTCCGTCTGGCCCAGCTCAGCACACCCAGCCCCATGCGAGGAGACCAGCCTTCTGGCTCCAGCCCAAACTCCCTGCCAGCCTGGGCCATAGCTGCATAAGGCCTGTCACTTCTGCACTGGGTCTCTCCCTCAATCCCTCTCCCCTTACTCTCAGCTCAGGGCGCGTGCCCTCTGCCTGCACATAACCCATTCCGGCCCCAGTCCATTCGCTTCCATGCACACTTCATCTGTGGCCAGATCTTGCCTTGGGAACTCTCTGCCACAAGGCTGGGTGGAGGAGATAAGCCTGGAGATGCTAGAGAGGGCCCCATTTCGACAAGCTCCCCTGGTCCTGAGGCTGGCTGCAAGTCCGGCCCTGGTGCTGCCCCTCTCTTCCCACACACACAGCTGGTGCCAGCTCTGGGGATAGAGAGGCACCAGTGGCACTTACATGGGAGGATGCTGGAGCCAGGGCGGCTCTCCTGGATGCCTGCAGATGGTGCTGCAGAGCTGGCTTTGTCCTTCGCAACCTCTAGGAGGATCTGCCACAGGGAAGCAGAGAGAGGGAGGGAGGGGGAGAGATCAGGGCCTTTCCCGACTATGCCCCTCCAGGGCGACGGGGGTGGTGGGAGCGCGCAGGGACTGGGTGGATGGCTCCTGTGGGATGCCCTGCCCCAGAAGACAGCAGGGGGTGAACCCAGCCCAAAGGGCAGAGCTCCCAGGAAAAGCTTTCATCTGCACCACAGCGCAGGGAGCCAGCCCCGTGCCTCAGTGTCCCCATGGGGCTGCTGCCAAGCTGCACAGCACATGCCCGCTGGGTTTGCTTGGCTGGGAGATTTGGTGCAGCAGCCATGGGGGATGCCCATGAAGTGTAGCACCTCTGCCTGCCCCCCGCCCCCGATTCCCTGTGTGGATCCTGACCCTGCGCAGGGCCCCTAGGGAGTCCCAGGGAGGGCTGGATGTCCCGGCTGTGTCTGCTCTGCAGGGGGATCAGGAGGGAAGCAGTGCTGGCCAGCCTCCAGCTGGGGAGATATCCCAGGCCTGGCAGCATTGCCATGGCAACGGGTGCCCCCAGCGCCAGCCATCTCCACAACAGTCAGATCTGGCGGGCGCCTGACTGAGCAGGAGCTGCTCATGGTGGTGGTGGTGATGGGGGTGTGTGTGTGCTTGTGTGTCTGGCCCAGCCTCTAACGCTCCCTTCACCCCCAGCGTGTGTGTGTGTGAGGGGAGCTAGCGTCTGTGCTCTCCAGCAGGGCACTGCTCCAGGTACTCCTACCTCATACTCCCGCAGGAAGCCCGCATTGGACTTGGCTGATTTCTGGGCATGGTGCTGCAGGAAGCTTTTGAGAGGGATCGGGCAGGAGCTGGGAAAACAAGGGGTGGAGGTGCAGGGTTAATAAACCCCTGTGCACCCACATCTCACAAAGAGCCAGGCCACTCGGTCGACAAGGTGATTCCCCTCCCTGGCCTGACCCTGCTAGTTCCATGGGAGCAGCCAGCCACTGGCCACCTGGAGAGGGCATCCCAAGGCCGGCCCGCTGGCCTGGGGGGTACATCTCTGCTGAGGGTGGGAGACCCAGTAGCGGAGCCCACTGCTTTGGGGGGGGTCAGCCCCATGGAGGCTGCCCAGGAAGCGTTAGGCCCCTGCGGTATCAGCACTGGAATGATGCTACGGAGGGGTGTGGTGCTCACCACCTTGGAAGGAAAGGACTGAGGCCAGACTTTGGCCCTGCCTCGGTGCAGGGAACAGGCCATCTTGCTGGGATTTCAGAATCCCTATTGCCTGGAGCCGAAGCCCAGGCCTGGGTCTGGATCGGAGTCTGAGGCACTGAACCCGAGTGCCCACACGTTTGGGACGGGCTAGGTGGGCTTGGTGGCTTACATCTCCGTCCCAGACTGGCCCAAGAGCAGCTCCTCCATGATCTTCTCCAGGATGCAGCTGTGCAGGAAAACATACTGGCCCTGGAAGGCAAGGGCAGGCTGTCAGTGCAGAGTGAGCCCACCCAAACCACGGCACCGCACAGAGTGGGACCACGCTGTGGCGAAGGGCAGCACTGCCTACTGGGCAGAGCATGGCCTTGTGCAGCTAGTCAGGAGCCCCGGCCAACCCTGCCGCTGCCTTGCTGGGGTAGCTTGGTTAAGTCAGTCTTCTTCTTTGGCTGGCGTTTTCACCGGGCTCTGGGGGATCCCCTCCCGGTTACCCAGCGCCCACAGCCAGCCTTTCTAAGGAGGCTCCTGCCAGCCATGGTTAGCCCCTGGCAGCTCGTCCCTGGCTCCTGCTGTGGCTGCATGTCCGGGCGTGCTGCGAGGGTCCAGTGGCTGGGATCAGCTGACCTCTGGGCTGCAACTTACAGGCACCCTGTGCAGCTTGTCGCTCCCCTGGATGTGCACAGGGCAGCATGGAGCCACTCACCCCTGGGGCCTGCCGAGTTGTTTTGGGATAGGCACAGGCCACTCTGCTTTCAATTACGCCCCCCCTCCCCCACCCCCCATCCCCCCGCAGCTACCACACTGGTGCTCCCGGCCTGCTCACACTGAATTCCGGGAAGACCCTTGGCTCCGAAGAGCCGGGTGTTCCTGCTGGAGGTCTGGGCGGGCACACGGCTGCTGGGAGACGGCAGGGGAGGGCGGCTCTAACAGGGGCACATCTGAGCCCTGCTCAGGACACTGGAGCAGGGGCCCAGGCAGCACCATCCTGTGGCTGGCGGGGAACAGCTCAGGGATATCAGGAGCTGGCTGTTATGCAGAGGGGTGGGGGGCCAGCCGAGCTCTGGGCTCCCTCCCAGCTCTGCTGATTTGGTGGCAAGGTGGAAGGGAAAAGGCCCAGGGCCTCACCAGCGTCTGAATCATCAGGTAGCGGCTCATCCGCATGGTGTAAATGGTATTGAACACGTCCACTGCCTTCTCCTGCTTCAGCTGCTGCAGCAGCCGGTCCAAGGCGATGAAGGTGCCGCTGCGGCCCACCCCTGCACTGCAACAGCACAGACAGCAAGGGGTTAACATGGGCAGGTCTCCCTCCAGCCCTCAGGTTCCACTGCCCCCCACCAGGCAGGCACCAGCCCCAGTGGGTGGGGGGAGGAGGAGATGGCCAACAGCCTGCAGCATGGGCTCCTGTTCTGGAGGAGCTGTAGGGTTGTGGGGCCGAGGAGCTGTCCCAGGGTGTGGGAGGAGCTGTGGGGGTCATGGGGCCCAGGAGCTGTCCTGGGGGGGGGAGTTGTGGGGCTGGGGAGATGGCCCCAGAGCAGCACTGGAAGGTGGGGAAGCATCTCCATAGTCTCCAGCGCTCACGTGGATAGGGCAGGGGCAGAGCCCCTCACTCACCGACAGCTGGGAGCTGCCTCTACGGACCGGGCCATCCCCAGGGCTCTCACCACCCCGGGGCTCCAGCCCCCACATACAAGGAGGGGCCCAATCTCCCAGGTCATTTCCCATCTCAGGGAAAGACACCCCTTCTCCAGCAGCCCCCACCTGGCAGAGCTAGGGCAGGTAGGGCCTCACCTGCAGTGCACCAGCGTTGGCCCAGAACCCTTGGCCGTCTGCATGTGGCCTCGGGCCAGGTCCAGGAAGGCCATCAGGGAAGCCGTGGACTCGGGAATGCCGTGGTCAGGCCATGCCGTGTAGTGCAGGTGGGTCACACGTCTCTCCTCCTGTAGGTCCTCCTGTCACAGACGGTGACTCGGCGTTAGTGCGCAGTGAAGCCGGAGTTGCAGCGGGGCTATTCACGGGGAATGTGCCCAGGCATTTCTGGAGCCCAGGGTCTGTCCACTACAGCTCCCTGAGTTACCTCCAGGGGCCGGAATCAGCTACCAGAACTTGGAGAGATTGACACTGGGGCTGCATCCCGGAGACCCACAGCCAGACCTGGGCCCTGGGTCTCCAGGATCCCCAGACACTCCCCGGCCAGCCCTGGGCATTTCTTACATCACCACTGAGCAGTCATGTAAACACAGCATGGACGAGACACTGACACTGAGAGATCAGGTAACTGACGCTACTGGCCAGAGCCAGGCCCCTGCTCTGTTACGTTCAGGGCCCTGTCCTGCGGCCATCTCCACAGCATGCGACTGCCTGGGCAGGCTGCACCATGTGGCTCTGCCAACATGCTGCCCTGCAGCAAGGCCAGTCCTGGGGAAGCCACGTGGGAGGTGGCCTGGATACCAGCTGGTGGGGGCATGGAGCACATGCATCAGCACAGTGCTGCCTTCGAGGCGATTTAGTATCTGGAAACAACCAATCCTGGGCGATGCACAGCGCCCCATGATGGGAATGGGGAAGCAGGGAGGGGGTGATGGCGAATGGGAGGGGGATGAAATGCCCGGGAACCTGTGTGCTGCCCGCCCTGGTAGCTGTGGGTTATTGACAATCCTCAAGGTGAGTCCCGGTGTGGACCGACCCCTTTCACTTGTAGCCTCGTTGGAACCCAGCTGGCCAGAGGCGAAAAGGCAGCCGCCCCCGGGACACCCCCCCAGCGAGACACCCCCATGGCAGTGCCGTCAGCGGGGGCCTGCACCGGGCTCCTCTCGGCCGCTCACTCACGTGCCAGAGCTTGAACGTGCGTGTGGTCCACTCGTCAGCGCTGCTGTGGGAGAGCAGGTCAACGCGGATGTGTCCGTAGGAGACCGGAGACAACTCTGAGGGCCAGTAGTGATCACACAGCACCTGAAGGGAAGGCAGGGCATGGGAACAGGGAAACCAGCGTAGGAGAGAGACCAGTGCCCACACAAGACAGCTGCAGCCACTGGAGAGATGGGCCCGGCTGAAACTCCCCAGCTCAGCATGCTCCAGCTCCAAGCTGGGGCTTTGGGCCACATCTCGTCTTCCGCGGGGGAGCAGAATCTGGGCACGGAGGCAAATGCAGCATGGGCTAGTGGTTTGGTGTCTGCTCCCCACTGCGTGTCTTTGGGCAGCTCGCTTCCCCTCGCTGTGCCTCAGTTTCCTCTTTGGTAGGATGGGGCTAGGGCCAGCATCCTCCATGCCAAGGGACTGTGTGGGTTCATTAGTGCCCATGCACAGTGCTCGTCTCACAGTTAAGTTATTGTCTGCACCTAGATATTAGGTAATGGGCACTCTAGAAATACCTAGCAGAGACAGACGTCGCCTGGCTGGGTGTCCACACATCCAGCACTGCCACTGCCCCTTCACTCTGCCCAACAGACCTCTAGCTATTATGTTGCTGGGCCCAGCACGGCTGCATTAATGGAGCCGCATTTGCATCTGGCTGTGGGTCAGGCCCCTCCTCGCACGAGCAACGCGCGCCTGGCACCAACCCTACCCGTCCGTTCTCCATGCCCACTGTCAGCATGATGATGTTGCAGACGCTCTGCTCCCACACCAGCCTCCAGAAATCCTCAATGGTTTTCTTCAGTGGCCCCTGGGTGACGATGAACTCCTGTGGGGAGGCGTAGCCCTGGGGCAGAGACCAGACAGCCAGAGTCAGCCCGGGCCAGAGGCTGTGAGACCCCAGATTTGGGGATGAGTAGATGACCTGCCTGGTCCCTCCAGGAGAGGGCCAGGTGCCCATTGACCTCAGCATTGGTGCCAGGATTGGCACACTTCCAGGGCAGCAGATGGCAGCTGGCGGTTATTATAGGATGCCCTGGAAGAGTGTGTTTCCCCCTCACTGGCATGAGAGAGATTACGCTCCTGGACCTCCCTTGAGCCCCTCAGTGTGACCCTGCGAGGAGAAGCATCTGACCCCAGACTCATGGGGTCCTTGCACCTGCCTCTAAAGCAGCTGCTGCGGCTGCCATTGGAGAAAAGAGATGACTAGATGGACCCTGGTTCTGATCCAGTCTGGCCATTCCTGTTTACTGCCTTTGACACACGCATGCAACACGCATACATGGGCCCACACGCTCCCAGGCATGCTGGGTGCCCCCTGTCCGTTACATGGGGCAGTCCCCTGGATGGGGGATGGGGGACCAGGTCCAGCATCAGTCAAGTGCAGCTGTACAAATTAGGAGGAGAAAGAGGAGACAGAGAGATGAGGCCATGAATCCAGAGAGGCTGCGAGTGAGAGTATCCTCAATCGGCAGAGCAGCAGCTATGACCACGCCCCCATGCACACTCAAGGGGGCACACACATGAACACACATTTCACAGACCCCAGGCTACAGCCAGCCTGGTTGCGCCAGTCCCCCATCTCCAACACCTTCCACCTGCGCCATCTCCAGTGCCATCTGCCAGCCAGCCCCAGATGTTAATGGGACCGAGACCCTCTTGTGACCGAGCCCCCTGCATGTGCCAGCTATGCCCCCCTCATGTGCGGGGGTTCCCGGGGGGCTGTAGTGGGAGAGGCAAGCAAGCACTCACGGGGACGTAGTTGGCGTTGATGTAGTCGGAGTGGGGCTCCTCCCGCAGCAGGCTCAGCCTGACTCTTGAGTGGTCGTCTGCAAGAACCCAAACAGTGATCATTCCCTGCACTGCACCTGGCCGAGCCAGACCTCAGTCCCCCAGGGAGCCCAGCTCAGGGGCAGCATGCTCTGCTGCTTTCTTGGGTCCTTCCCCTTTTCCAGCTGGGAGAGGAGGCAGTTGTCACGGAGTCCCCGGGCAATGCTCTGGAACTGCTCCCCACAAAGCCAGTCAGGACTTTGGGGAGCCTCCTCTCCCTCGGAGCAGACTGTCTTCAGGGCAAGAAGCTCACACAGCTTCACCTCCTGGGTCTCTCCTTGGAGCATTCAGCATATGCCCCTCCGTGCACTTCCCACAGCGAGTCCCCCCAGGTGGGGTCCTAAGGAAGCCAGAGGGTCCTGCACGCACCCCCACTTCGCAGTCAGACGTGACTCTTGGTCAGCCAGTAAAATAGAGGTTTATTAGATGACAGGAACACGGTCTAAAACAGAGCTTGTAGGTCCAGAGAACCGGATCCCTCAGCCAGGCCCATTCTGGGATCCCGTGAGCCAGACACCCCCGTCTGCCCACTCCTATTCCCCAGCCAGCTCCAAACTGAAACCCCCTCGAACCCCTCCTTCTCTGCTGAGTTCCTGTCCGGGGCCAGGAGGTCACCTGACCTCTTTGTTCTCCCACACCTTTAGCATCCCCTTGCAGGGGGGAAGGGCCTGGCCATTAGTTGCTAGGCGACAGAGTGTCGGTCAGAAACTGAGGCACCCACACAGTATTCAGAGGAAACATTAAGAACAGTCCCACTTCGTCACATCTGCCCAGATACTAGGTAAGGACTTATGTACGTCTACTGCACATATGTTCTTAGAGTCTGTATCACAGCAGAGGTGGAGAACCAGGCGTCCTGTCAGACAAGGGATGTTTAGTCTCCTGCCCCTCTGTTGAAATGTACATTAAGTATTGTCTCATTCACAATGGGTTTCCCCATCCCCGTCTAAGCTGAACGCAGATGAAGGATTGCCCAAATGTCCGAAAGCATCTAACAGGTAGAGAAACACAGCAGGGGAAGAGAACCTTATCTGGAGATACACTTCAAAGGTTCACTGGACTATTTTTGGGGAACAAAGACCCCCTCATCCTGCCCCAGGACGTAAATGGGCAGCATGTTTACATTCATGAAAACGGGATCAAACCAGCCTGGATTGAAGACGCTTGCAGAAGGCTTTGGGTGAGACACACTTCATCAGATAGGAGGTGAGTCTATTAATTAAGTTTAGTTGCTAGAAAGCGAGTGATGATATTGTTTTATATGTCACCTTTTGTTTCCCTTATCCTTACTCACTATCCCTTGAATCTTGAGTCTTTGGTAATACACGTATCCTTGTTTGCACTATCAGTGTATCTCAGTGCTGTGATACTGAGCCAGGTGCTGATCCAGTGTTGAATCACACAAGCTGGCGTGTGCACTGTTCCCTTGGGGACAGCAGACCTGGTGATTTGGTGAGTGTTCAGTAGATAAGGGCTGGGCACTACAGGGGAATGTTTCAAAGGGGACCGGAGACTGGGGCGCACCTGTTGTTAATCTGCAGGGCAGAGTCAGGACTGGCAGAGCCCAGAGGAGAGGGCTTGGGTGATGCTAGGGAGCTTACACCCGGTTAGTCCAAACAAGACTCCCTCATACTGGAATCTGGGAGTAACAAGGGGACTCACAGTCCTGGGCACCCCGAGAAATGTCACAACACCCCTCTCTCCTCTGGCACACCGGGCTGTGTGTATCAGTGTTAATGACATGGATACAAGGTGAGATGGGAGCTGGCCCTGGCCTGAGGGTCTTCTCAGCCTCCCATGCAGTAGTATGCCTGAAAGGGCCAGGGGTGGGAGTCTGCCCTGAGCTCCCTCCCCCTCCCCGCCCAGGAATAGTACAGGGACAACACAAGTGATGGGAGGCTGGAGGGGTCAGGGAGCAGCCCCCTGTTGCTCGCAGCTCCCCCTGCTGGCAGATGCACAGAACAGCAGGGGCAGTGGAGTTGTCTTTATGCTGTGACCAAAACTTGGGGGTCACTGGAAGGAGGAGGGGATCAAGAAAGGGGGCCATTCAAGTTAAAAGCATCAGTGAGATCTGAGGTGGGATGAGAGACCCAGTCCTGCCCTGTCTCACCAGGCCACCTCAGGAATAACTGTGGGAATGTCAGTGATCAGTGATTGTGGGTGCCCCACCAGAGACGCCATAACCGGGCCTGATTCTCAGAGAGGCTGAGCACCCACAGCTCCAGCAAACCAAAGGGATCTGTAGGGGCTCAACACCTCTGAAAACCAGGTTCTGGGTGTCTCAAACTGGCACCCAAAATTCTAATTCCTATCTTTTATATAGCGCCTTTTCACCAGCCCCACTCACCACCATTATCCTCAATTTACAGGTGGGGAAACCGAGGCACGGGAGACGACGTGACTCTGCTCTATCCAACAGGCCACGCTGCCTCCCACATTTGGCCACTCTGGAAATGTCTCCTGAAGCTTTCTGTGTCTTGGTGTCCCTGGGTGTGGCAAGGAGACGATAACCCCCCTGCCTCTGGGGTGGGGGCTTGGCTAGTGTCCCCCCAAGATCCTGGGATGGAAGGTGCCAGGGAAGGGCAGAAGGGGAGGGAGGGAGACATAAGGGCTGGGCCCCTGAACTTACAGGGCAGCACGTGGGGGTATCTGTTCTTGGACACGTTGGCTGGAAGTTCTGCTTCCACCTTAGGCTGCTCCTTTCCCACTTCCTTCAGCTCCTGTAGGGCACAAGGAGAAACCCAGTGAAGCTGCTCTGGGACAGATGGGCTGGGATGGGGAGGGCCAGCAGGGAGGCCCCCCAGCAAAAGCCTCCGCAGCCCCAGCTTGCCACACACAACTAATGGGTCTGCATAGTGTTTGGAGAGGCAGACATTGTTTGGGCTCCTGGGGCCACATTCGGCTTTCACAGCGATATGGATAAGGAGCAGCCTGATGAAGACGCCCCAGGGTACAGCCCGGGAGGAGCAGAGGAGAACTAGGCCAAAGACCCACTCAGGAGGTGGCTCCTGGGACTCCAGAGGGCAGCCGTGGTCAGACCTTCCCATAAAAGCGCCCCAGCACCTGTGACTTTGTGCACCAGACTCGGGGCAATGGAGGTGGCACCGGTAACAGCGGCAGTGTAGACGCGGACGCACGGGCTGTTGACCCGAGTGCACACCCACAGTCCCCAGCAGGCTTGTTCTCTGGTTGCCAGCCCAGGCCACCATGAGTTCACTACTGTTGTTACCTACACTAGCTAGAATAGAGCTGGGGCGGGCATGCCAAGCCACGCTACAATTAGACCTCCACTTGCAGTGTAGACATAACTGATTCTCCTGCTATGTCCCCTCCCCACCCCCTTTGATGTGCAGTTGTACCCAGTGAACGCAAAACCGCTTAGTGATCTCCCCAACCCCCACGTGACACTGCCAACGCGTCTACACTGCCGGCGTCCCCAGGAGCATGCTCTCCTTGCATGCGACACTCACCTCAAACTCCTGGAAGAAGCCGTGGTTGGCGTTTGCCATCTTTGCCTCGTAATACTGCTTGAAGCTCTGGATGGGGATCGGCCGGTGGACATTTCTGCAGGAGATAAAATTGTGCCCTTGGCAATGGGAGAAAACGCCACCCTGGAGAGGAATTATTTCGAGGGAGTCCTATGGCCTGGGTTATGCAGGAGGTCAGCCCAGATAATCTGGCCTTGGAATCTCTGAACTCCAAACCTAATGACCTGTGACACCTCGGTCCCCCGTGCCGTCTCACACTGGGACGTCCACAGAGCGATGGCAGTCAGCCTGTCCCACCTCCTGTGGCAGGGGTTCTTCCCAGTCCCTAGGCTGCAGGCTGGTAAGGACGTTTGCACTCCCAGCTAACGGGGATTCTCTTTTCCCCCAAGTAGTAGCATAGAGTCCCCAGTCCATGGAGGGGCCTGGCCTTTGCTCTGTGTTAGCGCACTGGTTATTAAGCACTGGATGCATTTCAGGGCGATGAAGGCTGTAACGGAACTTGGCAACACGGGAATCTGCCCAGAGGCGGCTGGGGCTTGGCAGTACAGCTACCAGTGACTTAGATAACGAAGGGTTAGCAGGTGAGTGACGTGGCACCTGCTGGCACTTTAAAAAGAGACCCGATGGACCGGCTTGGCAGGGGCCCAGGTTCTGGAGCAGCCTAAGCCCCACTCCCTTTGTGGCCTATTGTGGAGCACTAGCACGTGGGTAGGCAAGCAGACAGCCTGAGTCCCAGACACCCGCCCGGCCCTGCCGGAGAGCTCCCGGCTTTGGGAGCAGCACACTCACCTCAAGCTGTACGTGGCCATTTCTTGTGATAAGTTACTCTTCTTGGTTCTGAAAGGAAAGCATAGGGGATGTCACCCATCCTGGCAGCACCGAGGCTGGGGCCAAGCACCCTGTTTAGCAGCAGGAAGGGTCTGGGAGAGGGCTCGGCTCCCTCCCATTTACACAGATGACTCGGGGAACTTTTCAGTGGATCCATCACACCCAACAGCGCACACCTGCTATGCTGGACCTGGCCACCCCTTTTGATACACATCTGCTGTCGGTCAGCTCCTTGTTCGGTTAGGGCCAATCGCATTGTCATCGCTCTCAGTGGCTTTTCCTACCACTTCCCAGGCCCATCCTAGATCTCATCCCTTGGGAGACAGGCCTCCCTTACCTTTTCGTTCGGACCCGCTTCCAGTAGACCCATCCGAAAATCGCCGCAAGTGTCAGTAGAAAGCCCGCAACAATCCCAGCCACGACTGGCACGGTAACAGGACTGGGGTCTGCGCCAGCTCCAGCCGCTGAAGACAAAGACCACGGGGATTCTTTGCATTTATACTGTGCGTTCCAAAAGATCCCGCTGGGCTCCGCAAACTGACCCAGACACTCCCGCTGCGAATCGCCCACCCCGCTTAGCAGCCAGGATCGCCAGACATTGGGATCACAGGGGAAGGAGGACCAAGTGGTTAGGGCACTAACTGAAGACTTGGCAGACCTGGGTGCAAGTCCTGGCCCTGCCTCTGACTTCCTGTGCAGCCTTGGGCAAATCCCTTAGCTCAGCGGTTCTCAAACTTTTGTACTGATGACCCCTTTCACATAGCAAGCCTCTGAGTGTGACCCCCCTAATAAATTAAAAACACTTTTTAATGTAATTAACACCATTATAAATGCTGGAGGCAAAGCGGGATTTGGGGTGGAGGCTGACAGCTTGCGACCCCCCAGGTAATAACCTCACAACCCCCTGAGGGGGCCCAACCCCCAGTTTGAGAACCCCTGCCTTAGCTGCTCTGTGCCTCAGTTTCCCATGTGTATAATGGGGTTGATTGCCCTGCCCTGCCGTGCCTTGCCTTACAACAGGGTGTGAGGCTCAATACAGTAAAGGCTGTGAAGCGCTTTGAGATCCACAGATGACAAGCAAGCGCTAGGTTTTATTATTAAATGTAATCTACACTTAGGCTCCTTTCTGAGATTTTCTGCCCTGCCATTGGCAGCAATTAAGGAACTCCCCTAGCAGAGACAGCTAGAGGGGATAGCTAGTAACACCACTGCTGAAGCAGCATGAGGAACAGCCTTACCTGAAAACGCCGTGAAGGACACAGAAGGATCCACCAGGTCGTATTTGGTGAAAGCAGCAATGCTGAACCTACGGCAAAGCCAAGACCAGAGGTTAGTCCCAGCCGCTCAGAGGAAATAGGACTGGCCTGACCCTGCCATACAGAAAGAACGTGGTGCTGGGGAAATGGAAACCAGCAATGAGATGGTGCTTGTCTGGGCCAGCTGGGGAGATGGGTGCCAGGAAGACTACACGGGAGCTGGTTTGTGATATTTTCCCCTGATTTTCCTACAGGGAATTTTGAAATATGGGAGGGTGGGGCAGGTTTCTGGACATTCATACATTTCCCAGCCTTTTCCTCGGAGCACCGCCCAATGCAGCCACCTTGGTCCCACTGAGGCCCCCCTGGCGTATGTGTTTGGGGTGCGAGAGAGCTGCAGCCCCGTTCTCACCAAATAGCCATGCTCCCTTTCCCCCTCCACCCCCACTTGTCTGCCAGCATCCGCCAGAGCAGGGGTCCCCTCCTGTGCTCACCTGTATTGAGCATTTGCCTTCAGCTTCCCATTGCAGATCTCCCGGGACTGACCACACTTGTCCGTTCCCACCGGCACGGACCAGGTTTGGGGAGTGCTCCTCTTGTCTGGATGGAAAGGATTGGGGAGCAGCACAGCCACGTAGGAGTCCTCCTCTCCGTAATAGTGATCGTACCAGGTGCTGGACACGATTTCCTGGGTGGGCCTCGACACTGGAGTTAAAGACACAAGCGTATCAGCAGCAGCCCCCGCGCCTCGGCGGGGAACTGTGGCCACGGGTCTCAGCGCAGCGGCCGCGGGTGAGAGGTGGGCACTCACACGACTCGTTGCTGGTGACGATGACGGCGTAGTACTCGATCCGGCCATTCTCCTCACTGAATGTATCAGGGGAGATGAGAACTCTGGAGCCAGGCTCGACCTGCGGAACGTCTGCTCGTAGCGGCGGAGGCAGAACTGAAATGGAAACCCAGCCAGCCCAGGGGGGTTAGGGCTGGAGTTTGGCTCGGTCCTGAGCAGTTCCGCCCCACAGCCCCAGCACAGCAGCTTCACTACAAACCAGTCCCAAGCCCCAGCCCCCGCTCCGCATTCAGGGGCTCTGATCTCTGGAATAGGGCCTGCTAGCTAACCGGCAAACCCGACCTGGCAGCTCTTCCTGGGGACCGTGGGAAGACCTACCCTCTGCTGACGTGTTGCAGACCAGAGTCACAGCCCGGCTCCTCAGCCCGTTCCTGCCCACTGCGCTCACGCTGATTCGGTACGAAGAGTCTGGCTCCAAACCCCACAGGCTGGTCTTGTTCCTGGGAGCGATCACCCGAGCCTCAGCCTGGGGGGGGCCCCCGACAGCCTCTCTGCCGCCAGCTCGCAGGCCTCCACGTCTCCAGCAGGGAAGGTCCAGCTCAGGGAAAAGCCCTTGGAGTCAGGGTGGCACTGCAGATCTTCCACTGGGTCAGGCGCTGAGAAAGGAGACACCCTGAGCTAGGCAGACCCCGCATGGGGTGGGGGCATTTCCAGCCCCAAACCAGGCCGTGTGCCCCACAGCAGTTCCATGCCTGCACGGTGCCAAGGTACAAAGCTGGATACCTGGGCCACAGGAACCCCAGCTTGGGCTGGAGTGGCTTGGCCAGGACCTTTGCAAGAGGGATGGTGAGGCTGGGCCAGGGTTGAGGGCCACGCGGGAGGCCAGGGGCCGGCGTGGCTGTGCCCAGGGCCTGCAGGGGAGAGACATGTTACAGGAGGACCAGGCCAAGGAAGACTCTCTGTGGAATTAGGTTTATTTCGCAGGATGCCAGGCAATGTGGCTCCGTGGGGGCATCTCCCTCCAGTCACTAGCTCACCCCCCTCCCTGCCCTGCACACACCCATTGCGCTCTCCAGCCCCTGCAGCTTCCCGCCCAGCGCAGGCCCATACCCACCTATTGGCACCACCAAGATACCCGTGCTGCTCCAGTAAGGCCCAGCCACGCAGCTCAGGGAAACCGAGTAATTTCTGCCTGGGACCAGCCCCCGGAAGAAGTGCTGGACTTGCCCCCCCGCCAGGGTGTGCCTCTGTGGTAGCGTGTGGTTCCCAGGATCCCGCAGCCACAGCTGGCAGTAATCCTGCTGGCTGGAGGCGTGGCCCCAGGACACGGCCAGCACTGTGTGGCTCTCCCTGGGCACCGCAGAGAGATTCGCTGGAACCAGAGGGGCTACATTATAAAAACAATCCAAGGGAGAGAGAGTCATTTCCTGAGTCTGCCACATCAACCCCCAGCCCACCCCAGGGCAATACAGTCGGGTATGGGAGACAATCCTTCTAGTCTTCATTTAAGGCAGATAAGACGGTTACTCACCGTTGTAACTGTTGTTCTTCGAGATGTGTTGCTTATATCCATTCCATTAGGTGT